TTCGGAGTCAGTGGCCTCACCCTTAAAAACGTCACAGCGTGAGCGTCTAGTGGAAAAATTTGAATCCACAGGCACAGCTTAAAATGCTTCCATGCCAGTGAAACAAAGAAGTGCCCGGAGTGCCGAGAATATTGCTGCCGCTAGCGCATCAATTGAGGAAGCCCCAATTCAGTCTCTTTACCGTAACTTTTATGGCCCGGCGTCGTAATTGGGCCGTACGTCTTCCGTAATGATCAAGCCCGGCACCACTCAATGATAACCAGTTATTTTGGCCCGAATTGGATGAAATGGACTTAGACAATATGTGGTTCCAATAGAACAGCGCCATAAGCCGCTCCACAAATGTCACACTCGTTTTATTGAAAACCAAGTTTGGTGAACGTGTTATCTCAAAGTCGTGCCATTTTGACGCCGTTAGACTATTTCCTGTGTCAAGTGTATGGTCTCTGCCAACAAACCAGCGACCATTAATGAACTTCATTCAAATATCGAACGTGAAATTGCAGCAGTTTCGGCCGACTTATGCTTGAAAACCGTGGAAATTGGGTTAAGGGTCTGGGTTTCAGCAAGCATGCCAATGCCCTTGCATGGTAATGACCTCGAGTTCCATACATAATGGCATCGAAGGTACTTTCACAGGAATAAAGAATTTCATTGATATCCCAAACTTTTGTGGCGCTATTATGGAAAAACCCGTTATTAAACAAATATTTAATTGTCCTCATTTATAGAATATACCGTATTTTCGAACTTACTCACCACTCTTGCTTTTAAAACTATACAATAATCCATGCATTTTATTATCACTCCTCTCTTTCTACTTTCAGACTTTATTGCTTCATATGTCTACCCTATTGCATTGGCAGTTGCATGAACACCGCGCACTATTGTGGCATGTGTGACCGTTACTTAGGCACTTATGTGCGGGAATAACCATGAGGAGCATAGAAAATGAAGTCCACGAAGAACATGCAACAATTTTAATACTTTTACAACACATTTTTTAAATTTATTACACAACATTTTTCAGTTATAAAAATCAAAAAAACGCAAATTATTTATGATTTTTTTCACATATACTAATTCATAGATATTATACATACATATTTGAAACAATATACATAGTAAATATATAAATCTCGATATATTAATTTTTATTGATTTTGAAACAGTTTTGTAATACCGCACAGTCCAAAGGCTGATTTCAAGGGTTTGAGACATAAATTAACAAAATAGTTTTAGATTCATTATTGAGAGTATATGCATATGTAGGAATGGAACATAATTTGATAACTTCGAATGTCTTCCCATTAATCCAATTTTCTAAGCACTTAGCCAAGTTAGTAGGTTTTATCTCAATTATCAATTAACAAAATTTCTTTAGAACTTTTGCTGTTACTAGATTGTTCGCATAACACATTTTTTAGCCACACTATCCAAAAACCAAAAATAGCTGGGTTTTTTTGAAAATCAGAGGGTTAACGTAGCAACTATTTTCAGTATTAGCTATTTATATTGCCATTAGTCATAGAAAGAAAATTAAGCTTTCTTGAAATTTATAAATAACAAACAAGTTCCGATAACAAGTAAGGAAGGTATAATTTCGTATACAGACACAGATAATGTACACAAATTTTATGCGATATCTTCCAATCACACCGATACATGGATTATAAAGACAGTAATCAAGATGAATATATTATATTAGATGTATGAGGTTAAGGAGACCAAATTTCATCCATATAGTTCTAAACTCTCATAGAAGTTTATTGAAATATCTACCGCTAACGCATACCCATGTCAACCAAAGGAATGGAGAGTACACATTGAGTGTACGGAGATTAGGGGAACATTTTGGCCATTTACTTTAATTTTTATTGCAAACTATATTACTTCTAAGATTAGAAGTTTCCTTTATGCCAATTAAATATACGTATGTATACTCGTAGGTATACATTTAAAGTTAATTCAAAAATCAATATATATATGGAATATATTTGGGCTAAAGAAATGACTGGACTGATTATATTTATCTTTGCATACAACTACAATCAACTAGATTAACAAAACTCATAATATTATAGTTTTATTCACCTAACGCTGTACGTATTACCCATTCAGTAAAAATTAAGATACCTTGACACCATTAAAGGAAAACCTATGAAGTGCCATAAGTAAGCACTAAAATACGGTATTGAACTGTAAATGCCCGCTTAAGTCTGATGAGGTCCAGTTTTTTTCTTTTTTTTTTTTTTTTTAATGACATGTTAACAAGAAAAATTGCCATATTATGATTAAATAAAATCCAGAAATAATCCACCAGGCGAAACTTCATCCAGAACGAGTCACTGTGTGGTGCGCAGTTTCATCAAGGTGCATTGTTGGGTTATATTTCTTTGAGGAAAGCGGTGCAACAATAACTATCAATGAGCACCGCTATTTAAAGTTGTTGAATGAGAATAGCGCCCAAGGCATATCTCTGTTAACAGCACTTGGTTCCAGCAATACGGAGCAACAGCACACATAGCCATAGACCGGTTATAGTGGAGCTCCAACAAAAATGTACAAGCAAATTAATATAAAGAGACTCCACTTTCTGCTGACTTCCAAAGTCACCTGATATGCCTGCACCAAACTTTGTTTGTAGGTTTGTGTTAAGTAAGAGGTGTACAAAACAAAACCCAGAAATCAGACTGAATTGAAGCAGTCTATCAAATCTATAATTGAGGCAATCTCGAATTCAGCTCTCAGACCTCCTTGAATTATTTTCTATTTAGGTTTTAGTATGCGTGGCTGAGCATGGAGGTCAGTTACGGTCCATAATTAAAAAGAAATTACTTTAAAAAAAATTAAATTCCCTGTCGAATAAAAAAAAAAGTTGGTTAAAAAAATTAGATTATGAAATTGATTGTAGAAAACCTAATATTTATATGTCATCAAAAGGGGGATCTCTTATACGAGGCTGTTTGGATCGTTCATTGGGCACTAAGGCCGGACGTCGAGGCTCCACAATCTGCGGCAACCACCGCGGTATAAGCATCATCAACATCGCATAAAGGTTCTATCGAGCGGACTGTGTGAAAGGCTCAAGCATGTCGTGAATAAACTGATTTGACCTTATTAGTCTGGCTTTAGACCTGGAAAATCCATAATCAACCAGACTTTTACCATGTACCTTCCTCCGTGAAAGGAAAATCTACACAAACCACTTGACTTGACTCCCACATCACTGTTGACAGTCATAACTTCGAAGTCGTACATAATTTGGTCTATGTTGGAACCAACATTAACACCAATAACATCAACTTCAATCCAACGGAGAATAACTCTTGCCAACAGGTGCTACTTCGGGCTGAGTAGGCAATTGAGAAGTAAAGTCCTGTCTCGATGAACAGAGACCAAATTCTACAAGTCACTAATCCTGCTATATAGTAGGGAGGCATAAACGATACGAGCATCTGATAAGTCGGCATTAAGAATTTTCGAAAGTTGAGCGTTGGCAACGGCGAATACCGGAGGCGATGGAACAATGAGCTTTACGGGATATACGGCGGCATTGGCATAGTTCAACGAATTAAGAGACAGCGGCTAGGTTATGAAAACGTTCCAGCTCCGAAAGTATTCGGGGAAAGCAGAAGAACAGGAATACCTAAGCGAAAAGGAAAAACAACTGTTATAAACTCGGCTATAGCCGTGTAAACGCTGTCTGCAACAGTATAAAAGAAGAAGAATATTTCCATGCCCTCTTTACGGATGGCCAACCTTTTAATTTATAAAACATTGAAAATTGTCTACTAAAAAAGACAATCACTGTTTTATCAAGCATTCTCTGTATATTTCGTTTTGGTTGTATTATTGCTATCTATCGTGGTAAACATGTACTCCGGCTGTTACTGAGGGTACCAAAGCTCAACCAACAAGTAGAATTGAGTTTACTCCAACACTCATTTCGGCTTCGATAAGCTAATCGGTATAAGCGACTATGATTTTTGACTTTCATTTTTACGAATTCCGCTTTAAGATGTTTTTCGCAAATATTTTGTTTTTCCGTATCTCTCTAGCTCTAGATATTTGTAGCACAGCGGTAGATCTGCTGGAAGATACGAGTATATGGAAAAGCGACAGTAGCAAGGGCGAGGAGGGAGAGAAAAAAACAAAAAAAGCACCAAACAAGAAAAAACGGTTGCACCGAAGCTAAATTCAGTTTGTATGGAAACTATATGCTATAGTAATTCGTTCTGAACAATTTTTTTTTTTTGGAAATTATTTTGTTACTTAAGCAGTAATCCACGCCAAATTTCGAGAAGATACCACGTCAAATGTGAAAGTTTTCCAAAAAAAAGAACTTCATTCCGATTGTTCAGTTTGTATGGCAGCTATATGCTATAGTTAGCCGATCTGAACAATTTCTTCGAAGATTACATTGTTGCCTTAGAAAATAATCTGTGCCAAATTTCGTGAATATATCTTCTCAAATGTGAAAGTTTTTCATACAAGAACTTGATCCGATCGCTCAGTTTGTATGACAGCAATATGTTATAGTGATCGATATCGGCAGTTCCGACAAATGAGCAGCTTCTTGTAGAGAAAATGACTTTTACAGATTTATATCTTAAAAACTGATTGACTAGTTCGTATATATACAGACAGACGGACAGACAAACAGGTGGACATGGCTAAACCGACTCAGCTCGACATACTGATCATTTATATATATACCTTATAGAGCCTCCCACCCTTCCTTCTGGGTGCTACAAACTTCGTAACAAACTTAATATACTCTGTTCAGGGTATAAAAAGCACGACATCAGCCAAACAGTGCAAAGCATGAAATAATTGCGGCAAGCGGAATAAAACGAAAATATATGGTAAAGCGGAATAATGAAAAATAAATAAATAAATGAGATTGAAAAAAGTGCAAAATGAATACGAAAAGCACAGACTAGAAATCCAAACGTGAATAAGCTGACGAACTTTGTAACTTCAGTCGCGGTGTGCAAGCGAGTCTGAGTAGATCGTGGTGACGTGCGAACGCTTAGTAAGCGCTACGTCGTCGTCGTTTTTTTTTTCAATTTTATTTGCATTTAATTACAAAATCACTTGGTGAATTGCAGTGAAGCGCGAAACAACAACAAAAATAAACAAGTTAAATTACAACAATAACACGCTGTGCATGTGAATTGACACATTTAATCGGTAACCTCTGAAACCCTTCGTAAATTCCAGCCGCACATACACATATATACTCAAATAAAAATATATAGTAATAAGTAAGCATGGATCAAAAGCGTGCTATGCTCTACCCGGATATCGATCCTGCCGCCCACAATGCTGCCACACGCGATCATCGCATATCTGCCTCGGCCGCCATGGGCTTGCCCACGGAGGCGCCACCTTCATACGACATGGCTATAGCGTCCACATCGACGCCCAGCGGCTCAACAAGTAATGGAGGAAGTGGCACTGCCAGTGGTTTGGTTAGCGATGGCGCTGTTGCTCCGCTGGGCTGGCATCCCAGCGCCCCGCCGCCAGCGACCACACCCGTAACACAACCGCCAGCGCCAGTACCTCCAGTCCGACAGTCGCGCACGGCACAGCAGACGCCTATACCGCACGACAGTCAGACAAGGCCGGTGATTGTGGTGCAACCGTTACCACACAACCAACAACAACAACCACTCTCGCCACCAATACAAACAAGTAAGTGAACACAGTGTGTTGTTGTTTTTGGCATACTCGAAATTGTTGTCTTCACTTAACTTTGTAGATAGTTTCACTAAGCAACGTTATTTGCAAAATAAAGGGGTTTGCAATATGGTTTTATAGATCGGTCAGAAATTTGTCGGGGCTTTTCAGGTTTACAGCCGAGCGAAATTTTAAAAACACTCGCAAATAAAGTCCGCAAACTTTTCTCTACACCCTGGGATAAATTTTTATGATATAACTACATAGATAGCTTGGGGATTAGCATGGAGATCTTATTTAAGTTCAACTTAAAGTTGGTCCACAATAGGAGCGTTTTCAGCTATAAGAAGGTCTCGAGGGTTTATTTAAGTTCAACTTAAAGTTGATTCGCAATGGGGGCCCTCCCTCTCAGCTATAAGACGGTTTCGGAAGATTCCACAATTTTTATGAGACTATTTTTCGAGTCTGAAATATCCTCAAGGGTTATTAGTTACCTTCCGAAAACAACATAAACATTTTTTCTGTATTGTTTTGTATTAGAGACAGTAGATTATTTAATCATCTCAACCTCAAATATATCAGGCAGTCCTGGTTCACAACATGCCATCAGGTTTAAAGAATTTAGTTCCTAATAAATTCTTTCTAATCAAGTACCAGAAAATCACTCCATCCAAAATCCGGGCCGACGGTTATAGCACCTTTGAAAGGCACTTTAGAGCCTTAGGTGACTAGTAACACATATTTTACGTGCCACTTGTTCTCTTACAGATCCAAATATGAAGTCGAAATTAGCCACCAAGCTTTGCTGAGCTGACTTCCATAGGTATGTGAGTCTCTCGGTTTTTGAGTCAGTCTGTCAGTCAAAAAGCTTATCATTTGTCGGAATCGCTGTTTCAGAGCTTTGCATAAAAAACCATTTTCTATACTAATTCCATTAGCCCAACTTTTTCTGTTCGCCGGTTAGGTTTTCAAATTTATTATACAGTTCTATATAATTAATGAAAGTTGTTCTATAGTAGGTTCAGTGAAGCCGAAGTTAAGTGTTTTTTAAGGATTTTCTTCGTAGGGAAAAGACAGCATCAAAATCGCATCTGCTTCGACTGACCCCAATTGGCAACCCCTGTGTAAACACAAATAATTGCATATCTGTTTAGTTAGGAAACACTAACAACTTTTATAATTATTATTTTTCAAATATTGCAACTCAATCTTCTACGCTCACGAAAATTGTAAACGGAAAATAGTTCAAATATTTATTTCTACGATTTCTTAGTGTATTCGAGGCAATTCGCTGTATTTAGTAGACAGATTTAGTAAACTCTGTCGGAGACTTGAATACTTCTTGGTTGATTATAAGATGTAGGATCGATATATACACAATTAAGATGATGTAATAAATAGGAAATGTAAGGCTTAAGATTTCACTTTCCGCATAAAATGATAATATTTCTCTACTACTTTACAAACCACGCAGAATACGAATGACATCGTTAAAGAAAGAATAAGAAGATCTAGTAAGTTAGCTGAGATTTCAATAATCATGTTCGAGTGAAGTTATGTGAATGGAGATTAAGTTTAGTAGAAGAGTATAATACTACCTCTGTCTAACTGACTAAAATTAACTTCGAGTGCATTTACCCTATAGACGTTAATGGGGAATAGATTTAGTAGGCGAGGATTATACCACCTCTACTTATCTGTACGGACAACACAAAATGATTTTGACATCTTTCGCTCTCTCGCTCTCTCTATCTGACTATCAAACTCACCCAGAATCTTCCACGCGACAGTCCTAAGTATAGAGAAGACATGTATAGTCCTGTTGAATAACAATAATACAGAAAACAATTATATTCATGGGTAGCCAAGCGGTCCAGAAGATTCAACAATAAGAAAAAAGAAGTTTTAAGCTCACTGCCAGCTCAACTGCACTTGTCCAAAATTTATTTGAGTTCCCGTCTCTAGGAACATTTTCGGCAACGAAAAAGCCAGTKGTTTGAACAAGCTAGGAGCCTCGTTAGAAGAATCCGAGGCTGAGTAGAAACCATGCTCACTGAGAACGGAATTTGAACAAATTAGTAGCTTAATACAAATGAAATGAAAATGGAAATGCGCAAACTGTTTTTAAACTTCTCCGTGAATGCCAACTCCGTCACAGATGGCACACAGAATATTTGGTATACATCTTGCACCAAACCTTGAATAGATGCATAAGTTAAAACAAAGCATTTCCCTTCTTCATTGTTTACTACCTATACAACTATCATTTTTTTAAAAGGGGCTTCATATAGAAGTAGAAATAAAGTCAATTTTTATACTTTAGAAAACTTCCCTCACTTGCGTGAACTGCTACTCGTACACACCATCCCATCCCAGCCATTTGAGAAGTAAAGTCCTGTTTTGACGAACAAAGGCCAAACTGTAAAAGTCAATCATCATTTCCGTGCGGTTATGTGGTGCAGAGACATAGACGATGACAACAACTAATGAGTCGACTTTAGAAGTTTTCGAGAGAAATGTTCCGCGTAATACGATGACATTGACATAGTTCAGCGAATTAAGAGACAGCTTCTACGTTGATTACATAATTGGCACCTCCGTTGCGGACAACTTTACTGAGAGAGCCACAACTTTTACTCATAGGTCCTCAGCAAATTAAGAGTCAATGCAAAAATTAGGTAATTTCAGAGAGAATTTGACTAAGAGTGAAGAATGAAAGATCGGCAACGCTTCAGAATCCTACCAAATATAGTACTTTTAGAATTGTATGTTTAGGGTTAGGTTMGGTTAGATGGCTGATCAAAGTTCACACGTAGGCTAATAATGTAGTCCTTTGTGATGCCATTGAAAAAGAACTACCGTGTTCGGACTTACAGATTGGCGAAGCGCTTTCTAGCCCTTACACAGACGTCAAGCATGAAAAGCTGGCTTGTTTCTACCGCATCTTCTTCCATATAGCTTCAGCAGTCGGCATCCGGTAAGATACCCATTCTTACCGCATGTATGCCAATAGGACAGTGGCTTGTTCAGAATCCCACTACTAATGAGAGGTTAGAGTTACTGAGGGCTAAGAGATCACTATATCTCCTGCGATCTATCCTGGGTCGAAAGGCTTTTGCAACCGAACAAGTACCGATGCTGGCCCAGCGTTGGACAAGCATCCGCGTGGCCCAGCTATATAAAAGTAGAACACAAGAGGATAAACGTATGAGCACCGATGCGTTCCCATTCTACCGATAATGATTCTAAGGTGCCCTTCCTTCCTAACTCATCAGCTTTGCAATTACCTCCATTTCCGCTGTTTATGTTTAGGGTTAAAGTTCTATAGATTTTTATCGGATATTTTATCCATACAAGGCTACCTAAAATGCTTTCAATCAACTGTATAGAAGAATAGTCTTGGTGAAGTCCGGAATCTCTGAGGTCCATAGAATTCTTTAATAATATAAACTTTGTTTATTATATTGTGGATTTTAAGCCTTATATTTACTCAACATAGCCTAGAAAAAGTGATTTTTAATAGATTTCAAATTGTTTTCTTGCAGCTAGTGCCACAGTACCGATAAAACTAGGTCCGCACCCATGTTCGGTTACGTGCCCTGTTTGCGGCGCTAACGAGACGACGCGATTGATCTTCACGCCTAACACACGAACGCACATTTGTGCGGGATTACTCTGTCTGGCCGGGTGAGTTACGCAGCTGTGCAGTGGATAGTTAGCAAAACTGTTATTACCGTTATTATTGTTTTAATATGGCATTGTAATAAAAAATGAAATTTCTTGCATTCCATTTGCAGTTGGTGTTGTTGTGCTTGTATGGTGCCCTATTGCATGAACAGCTGTCGGACCGGTAATCATTATTGCTCACGGTGCAACACATTTCTGGGTGTCTATAATCCGAAAAGAGCGAGAAAGTGAAAACAGTGATAGACTTGCCACCGCACACACACTCCTGTACATATATATGTATGCAATTTGTGCGTGTGTTTGTGGGTGCATATTATGTAATGTTTTTATTACTATTTTTTTKTTTGKTTATTAATTTCACTTTRACTCGCTTCAGTCAATCTCATCTGCTGCGCATGCGTGCTCGTAATAATACTTATATATATATATATACATATGTATATATATTTATGGATATATTTTATTTACAAACATGCAGGCTTACATATTTTTTTCTTTATGTGTGTGCGTGTGGTATACAAAAATTTATTATTTTATATGTAATTACTTTAAGATAAGTTGATAATAATGATAATAAACAAAATACATGCGATATAATGGCAAAATGCAATGTTGAAGATTGTTTTTTTTTTTTTTTGTTTTTGCTGCGATAACACTGTGGATTATCAGAATCAGATAAAAGTTCTATTTGTTTGTGTCTACAAACACACACAATGAAATATGACGTAGCTTTGGCGCATCACGGTGCCTGGCACGTAAGTCACACGTATGTCGCACACTTTTTCTCTTTTTTCTCATAAAATACAAATATTTGCACACTTGTGCGGCTATTTTAATACATACAAACATTACAGTAAGTTTGTAAACCAACATCTTAGCATTTGAAGCGTTTTATCTGCTTTTTCATCGAATGATTGAGAGACGTGTGGGGAAGCTGGGTCCATAGGTAGCTCTAAATAATATCCGAGATAATTTAATAAACATTAGCATTGTCTTCAATAGAAAGTACTAGCAAGTTAGCACTAATCTTCAAAATGCGCGTATATAAATTTGACAGCTGTCGGATCATTACTTTGTGAATTATAGTATTTTGAGTGAAGCAGCTTTAGTTGTTGTGAGAAATGGATAAAAAATTCGCATTTTGATAAAATATGGTTATTTGAAGAGCAAAAATGCAATTGAAGCAAAATCTTGGCTTGATGACGAGTTTCCGGACACTGGCCCACCCAAATATAGACAATAGAGACGTGGCGAAATGAGCAACGAAGACGTTGAAAACATCAAAAAAGTCCATTTTTGGAGAAACCAACGACGAATATATGATTCGGATCAGTGTTTGGAGACGTTCAGGTATAATAAGCCCGAGTTTTTGCGTCGATATGTGAGAACAACTGCACACGATGAACCCGCTCAAAGGCTTGGAAAAACACAACAGATGGCTGGCAAGGATATGGCATCTATATTTTGGGTATTTGACTACCTTGAAAAAGGAAGGACCATTCACAGTGACCAATACATGGCAGCCTTGAAACGAGTGAAGCACGAAATCACCGAATAAGATCGAAGTTGAAGAAAAGGAATGTGCTGTTTCACCAATAAAATACCTACACTGTAACACGAGTCAGTGAAAACGATGGCAAACATTCATGAATTGAACTTAGAATTACTTCCGCATGCATCGTATTCTCTAAACTTGGCCCATATTTGGTACATGTCATATGGGTGTTAAGAAAATATTATATACCGAATTTCATTGAAATCGGTGGAGTACTTCCTGAGATATGGTTTTTGGTCCATAAGTGGGCGACGCCATGCCCATTTTCAATTTTTAAAAAAAGCCTGGATGCAGCTTCCTTCTAACATTTATTCCGTAAATTTAGTGTTTCTGACGTTTTTTGTTAGTCGGTTAACGCACCTTTAGTGATTTTCAACATAACCTTTGTATGGGAGGCGGGCGTGGTTATTATCCGATTTCTTCCATTCTTGAACTGTATATGGAAATGTCTGAAGGAAACGACCTTATAGAGTTCGGTTGACATAGCTATAGTAGTTTTCGAGATATGTACAAAAAAGTTAGTAGGGGGCCTTTGCGCCAAATTTCATTTTAATATCTTTATTTATGGCTTAGTTATGACACTTTATAGGTTTTCGGTTTTCGCCATTTTGTGGGCGTGGCAGAGGGCCGATTTTGCCCATCTTCGAACTTAACCTTCTTATAGAGCCAAGAAATACGTGTACCAAGTTTCATCATGATATCTCAATTTTTACTCAAGTTACAGCTTGCACGGATCGACGGACGGACAGACAGACATCCGGATTTCAACTCTACTCGTCATCGTGATCACTTTGGTATATATAACCCTATATCTGACTCTTTTAGTTTTAGGACTTACAAACAACCGTTATGTGAACAAAACTATAATACTCTCTTTAGCAACTTTGTTGCGAGAGTATAAAAATAGTATCACAAAGTAAGAGGGTCACTATAATCAGTGTATCACTCTGCAAGGGAACTATGTTAAGTAAAAAAAGAATTTTGCCAAAAAAAAATGCGTTTCTACTATGGTATGCCGGAGACTTTTTTATACGTGAAAGCTTCTCAGTTTTTGAGACATGATGAAACTGAATGATCGGAATCAATTGCTTGTATGCGTTTTTTTTTTTTTTTTCATTTGAAAAGAAGTCCAAAAGAAACACTAGACAGTAAGAAAGTGCGTACATTGAAGGGAAATTTAATCAAGTATTACTAATCTTAACTACATTGAATTGGAAGTGATAAGCGTATGACGATTTCATTGATAAAATATCATATTTAAAAATCAAATGAAAAATAAATTTGTCTACTCGTGTATCAGTATGTCTACGTTATATGAGACACTCTGTATTTTATTTGATTGAGTGAAGTGATTAAGCTATTTCACTTTTGTTTTATCATATAACGCCACTTTTTATTAAAATATATGTGTCAAGCTCTACGTAATATTGACAAATGCACAAACACACCACCGCTGCCACCTTCACTGCCCATAATAGTCACATAAACGTAGGCGTTCACACTGGAACTCCAACATAGTGCACTATTAAACTGCGAAGCTTTCGATAAATTTCAGCAAAATTTATTGTTTTTAATTTTTATTTTTATTTTTTGACAACTGGTTCTGTTTCAGCGAGCAGCTGCAATTTACTGTTATAACCTAGGTGGGTACATGTAAATATATGTGTTAAATGTCATAAATTTGTATAAAATACTCCGATTTGATTAGATAAAATCGAAATATACTTATATATATGTGTGTTGCTAATATCATATGTTTTTATTTCCGCCATATTTTTAACCCTATAAAATAAATATGCAGCTTTGGCCATTTTCGGAAAACAATGATGACTATTTTGAATACAATTTTTTGTAATATAATACAAGCACATGCATTAAATTATGGAAATACTTAAGGGGGTATTCTGAGCAGACGCATGAATTTTAGGCATTTTTTAAACTAAGATAAAAAAAATGAAAAAAATTTTTAGTATCCATTTGTTTTATATGTTCTTATTGACATTTTAATAATATAATATGAAAAAAATTGCAAGAAAAAAAACAAAATTCGTCAAGCTACGGGCCGGTGAAGTGCGGGATTCAAACCAAACGGTTCGTCCTGGTTGACGTGATTTCAACCCTTGTAGAGATCGAAAACACAAAAAACAAGAAGATTCTTCAATAGTAATGTGTAATAAAGAATGTCGTTATCGGGTTGATTATTTTCAAAAAAATAACAAAATGGCGTCGACTTTTTTCTATCAGATTTTTTTGACTTTTTCGAAATTTTTATAAATATTTTAAATCAAAATTTTTGGAAATCCAAGGCAGACACTATAGAGCATTGTATAAAGGAGATATTATATATACCAAATTTCAAAGGAATCGGTTGAGTAGAACTTGAAATATCATGTCAGCCATTTCAAAAAAAGTAGTTTCGAGAAAAACTCGTTTAAAGTTTAGGAGACAATTCTAGTGAACACGGACGCCACGTCACAAAATCGGCTGTATCGCCGAGTCGAATTTTGAAAAATCCTTCCAAGGTCATATTTTTGAAAGTCTAAACTTCCAAAATATGCAACAAAAAAAATCGATTTTTTTCACAATCCTAGAGCAGAATACCCCTTGAAATTGATACTTAATACTTCTATACATAGAAACATATAGTATACGAGGTGTGTTCAAAAAGTTTCCCGAATTTTGTGTTTTTTTTCAAAAATTATTTATTTATTCATGAATATCTATTTTGTCCCCTTGAAAGTAATCCCCATGAGATATTATACACTTATGCTAACGGTTCTTCCAATCTTCGAAACACTTCAAAAAATCATTTTTTTTTTATCTTYTCAGCTCCTCCTTCGCTGCCGTCTTTATCTTGTCAAGAGAAGCGTAACGTCGTCCTTTCATGGGCCTCTTCAGTTTACGGAACAAGAAAACGTCACAGGGGGCCAGATCTGGGGAATACGGTGACTGCGGCATCATTAGTGTGTTGTTTTTGACCAAAAAGTCGCGCACAAGCAACGATGTGTGAGCAGGGGCGTTATMGTGGTGCAAAAGCCAATTTTTGTCACATCTTCTCAGCCTTCTGAGAAGATTTTGTGCCACCGCTAAACGTTGCTTCGGTCCAAGGTAGCTGCTCCGTATGCCACAGTCAACATTCGGAATGCATCCGCGCACTTAATTTCGTTTTTCACACAAAATTTGATACAGGTTCTTTGATCCATTTTTTTGAATAGGTAAAAATCGAAGACGATCCAAAACACGTGCAAGCAAAGCAGCTGAGAGACATGAGTACCAACATAACGCGAAAATTCAAAATTCGCGATACTTTTTAAACACACTTCGTGCATATACATTGTGGGTATACAGTGTAAAGCAATTCCGTTTATTAAGCTGACTTAATTTTTAATATTATAACGGGTAATCCATTCCTTTAGAAAGCCTAGGTGGAGAAGGTACTAGCTTCGATTGAAATCTCCAATCGGCTCCACATTGCAAAAGGAAGAAAGAACTGGCGCGCTATTGTTAACAGCTTGTGCAAGAACTGAAGCTATTCGACATTGTCAAGCGACATCGCTTCGTTTCCAAGAAGATCCGACGTTTTCGAGCCAAAATTTGTTTAGCGATGAAGCTTTTTTCTGGCTCAATGGGTATGTAAACAAGGAAAATTGCCGCTTTTTGGACGAAGAACAACATAAAAGATTCAAGAGCTGCCATTTCTTTCAGAAAGAATGTGTGGTTAGTTCGCCGGTGGAATCATCAGTCCATATTTCTTCTAAATTAATGCTGGTGAGAACTTAACCGATCGTTATCGCGCCATGATAACCAACTATTTGATGTCTGAAATTGATCTTGGCGACATTTGGTTTCAACAAAACGGCGTTCCTCCCCACACATGGCACCAAACAGTGAATTTATTGAGAGAATACTGCGGTGAGC